TACTTTATTTAACGATTTCCTGTTTCTGTTACATGGCTTAAATTTTTCCTTTATCTGCTTTGCTTTTCCTCACGTTTGGACGCCCCGTTTTTCGAAGTGCTCAACTTTTCTGTCACTCATATTTGAGAAGGCTGCGCTGAAAATAATATTTCTTTCGAAGTTATCTCCACAAACTCATCCGATGAGAAAAGTAAATGTTTTACGAGCTATGAGGAATATTACAACAAAAATAGCATGATAAACAGAGTCAAATTCGAACTGGGAGAATCTTCTAATAAAACGGAATCAGAGTTCTGAAACAGAGCCCTGGCCAGCAAAATACAGAACCCTGACTACGAATGGCCGACAATTTCAGCATCGCGTTCTTTCTAAATGCATTCTGCTTTTCCTGGGCTTTCCTCTTTCTTCTTCCATCAGCAACATACGACTGTTTCTCTGAAGCTTGTCGACAAACCGGAATTCTGACGAGAACAACGCCGGGTGTTGTGGACAATGAAGAAAGGCTTTATTTTCCTCATGGTAGATTTATTTCTTTCTGCAATCTCACCCTAGCAAATCCCGAGAAAGGCAGTTTTTATTTTTTGCGTTGTGTGGAGGAACGGGAAATAGCTACATGCTGCTAATGAGAGAGAGGTTTCTAGGACATATTACTGCTAAGAAAGACGTCTTCGCTCAGTTGCATAAATGTACGATGTTCCCCAACTTGTATTCTTCTCCTCTTGGCGAAAACCTTCCTCGCGTCGACATTTTTTTCTCTTTTTTTGTAGACATTTCCAGTTGTAAAACAAGCGAAAAATAAGTTCCCTCAAACTTCTGCGCGGATTATATTTGGTCAAGCCATATAAGAATTCCGGATGAGCTTCACCATCTTCATTTTGTTTTCTTTTGTACGTAAGGTTACCTGACTGAAATACGCATTCCACAGTAAATATTTCATCCGTTGGCAAAGAATCGGTTTTGATGCTATGAAAAATAGAATGGAAAGCCTCCGATTTGCATCATTATTTTTTTTAAAGAATTTTGAAGATGGCGATTTTTTATTGTGGAAATTTTAAGCAACTAAATTTGACCATGTCGAAGCTTGAAATAAATTATTGCACCGTGAAAGCATTCGAGCATCAAAAATATGTACGTTGCCTTTCACTTGACGACTAACCAGCACTCGGTAGTCGATGCTACTGGAATGTATAAAGATTCGAAAGGGAAATAAAAGTCGAGCTGATCTGATTTCTGGTGGGCGATGAGTCGTCCTTTAACGTCAGACATTCCGCAGCAGAGTGACATTTAAACGACCATGCGTCATTCTGCTGACCAGAACGGAAGGTCTAGCAGCTGTTGTGCAGCAGCTGTTGTGCAGCAGCAGCAGCAGCAGCAGTAGCAGCAATGTGTTACCCAGCAAGTGTCAAGAGAAAAGTTGAAGAGAGTGTACTGGTGTACTGTATACATATAAAAGAGAGCAGCGAGCAGAGCGTGTGCTGAGCAGCGCCACTGCTGTCCTTGTGAAGCGATCGTGAGCACTGCGCCATGGACATCATTAATGCCACCGGAACCAGACGTGGGATTGCATGGAACCGATAAATAATCCTCATGGGCCCACGGCGCTATAGACCATAGCCTTTAAAGAGCCCGCAATCATGCAGAGAGCCATAAAGCGAGCCATAATTAACTGCCCTGTGCCTTGTTAAAAAAAAAAAAAAAACGCGCGAAGCCGGATAACTTGTGCTGTTATCGGTGTTCATTTTGCCTTCGATGTTCTCGTGATGTTTGGGGGTCGCTGAGTTCTGATCGTCTGTCCTGCTCTCTCCTGTTAGGATGAGAAGAACCAACTTCTTATTACAAATACTTGGTTAAACTGGGTAAGTGTGCGTGGACATCAACTGACCAGACTTTTTGCAACGAGTAATTCCTGGGACATATTACGAAATTTCCTTCGCTCGACTCTCATCCTTTGTACTCACGGCGCAGTTTGGCTTGCATCTACGTCATGCCTTCTCTCATTTACCTTCGCAATTCTAGTCCCTTCCTTGTTGTTCCACAAGTCCTCGTAGTTAGTCCGCTGTCCGAAGAGCTCATATTCCTCCGACTTATTTATTTTCACTGCGAGGACGCTGTGGGGGGGCTGGAATCGGACTGGAATCGTGAATTCAGAATTTCGTTTCTTTCGATACGACTGCTAGTGGACGAACTAACTCGTTTTCCGTTGACATTCCGCTGCTGTTTCATTCAGCAAATCGCCGAAATCCAACGACGTCATGGCAAAGAAATCTTTCCTGCGGGGAGACCATCAGTGGGTCCAGAGATCCAGGGCAAAAAAGTTGCGTATTTACGGGAAAGGCATTATAAGGCCTCTGTCCCTCGTCGAAAGTTTACTTTATTGCGGCTCAGGAATTTTCGTTCCATCGCCGACTGATCCACTTACACTTGTAGTCTCCTCTGCGCCTGTGATGATTAGAAATCAAGCCCATGCAAGGGTGGGAACCTGATGAGCAATCAGACTTTGCTAATCGCCCGACGAGTTGAAAAGCAGGCCCTAATAATTATTATCCATCCGTGTTATGTATACGCGTATACAGTACAGTATATTCAAACGCAACGGTATTGTCTAGCGAGGTAATCAGAATGGATCCACTGATGGACCTCTTGCTGGCTGGGTTCTCCCGACAGATTCTGTCCCATTCGGCTTTACGCACTGGAGTCATTCCCATCCCATTCCAGTAAACATCAGACTGGAAGTTGCTCACTTCAGTCGTCTCCTCGCTGCTCCCTCATCATCCTTTTCTCTATATACTGCATACTGTGCTCTTTTGTCATTTCGGCTTCCCGGGGGACAAAAAGAAAGGCAAGAAGTCGTTGATTAGTTTCGGACAGGAAAATATTACCGCCGTCCCACGATGAAATGATCGAATCAAGAGAGCTAGCTAATAAGATCAGAGGAGAGAAAGAGCCGTGTTGATACGTACTTCCGGGACACGGAGGAGAAAATGCCCGAGGCTTTTCCGAGGAATATAAGGGAGCAGCAATGAGGCGGCCTGGATGGGCACATCCAGTATGTACCCGCATGGCGGCACGGGCACAATTCATACCGGACAGCAGGCTCTTGAGAAAACAGGGTTCTTTTTTTTACCGTCGGGGAAACCCGTCGCAATTTTCCGCCTTGCCAACAAAGGGAGCCGTTGTTGTCTGGCGCGAATCGCGTCTGTGTCGTCGGAAATGTCCACGATTGGAAGCAGTTGGTCTCCCCCATTTGGCCGCACTTTGCGATCAGGCATGACAAACAAGAAGATGCCTCAATTTTTCCGAGTTAAGCTGTTTCGCAGCAGGGACGACCGTCGTGTTGACGGAATAAAATGAATTTTGTCTCATAAATAGAAGTAGCATGAGCCCTCTGTATGAAGACATGCCTGTGATTTTGCACGCTGGTGGTGTCAGTCGCACGGTTTATTATTTTTTTTTCTCTCGCATGCTGGTATTTCAAATGAAGCGTGACCATTCGCGGTTTGCAGTTTTTTGCATGATTCCTCATTCGTAGCTGTGGCTATGTAAGTTCCCATCTGGTGTTCGCGTGTTGCAAACTATTCTCCGCTGCTGGAACGGGGAAACGCATCCACTTCGCCTCGATTTTGCTGCAATATCCCATGCAGGTGCTAGCTTTTGCTGGTTAAGTGCATTTCCCGGGCATTAAGGAGCAATCGTCTGGCCGAGACACATGCATCAGTTTTCCCCCTGGCACACCTAGAAATTGGCTTCCATTTCCTGCACTCTGGATAACGTTCTTGATTTCTCACGCGTTCGGCAGAAGGTCAACAGCTGGACTCTCGAGTGATTAATCTGCGAGTGATTTAATCGCAAAGCTTTTACTTCGCCAAGTAAGAAAGGTGTGCGGCGAAGATTGGATTTCCCTCGTTTACAGATCACTTCCGAACCTCACGTCGATGCCGGAGGAAACTTTTACATCAAATGAGCACCAAATTGCCTTAATGATGAATGATTTACTTATTTCCTCGCTCGCGTTAGTGCAACTGAGAGGCCGAACTGTCGCTCTACGTTATCTTTTATTTTTCGATTGTCTTCGAGCATTATAGATCTATAGACGGATCAACTGTAAATGCATTCCAGGTATACTATTTTTGTATTTGTTCCCGAGAATTCGGATCACGATAAGCTAAGTAGTTCGTTAGGCCATGGACATTGAGGTTAATGCACAATTCTGCAATCCATTACCATGACAAGCAGCAAACCAGAACTCGTCGGCAGGCAATTGCGGGCATCGTGTCGGTAGCAGATTGCTTGTGATTGGACTTTTTGATATCGAACTCCTATATTCTTTTGGTTGAAGAATTAAATTTAGTAAAAAGAAATAATGCTGTAGATAAGGACACGTACGCATATGAAGCTGGCAATGATTTGAAAATGTGCGAGGGATGATTGAGTTCCGCGTGGATTTTAAATTTTTTTTTTTTTATCTCGGATGCCGGTGGATTGATACTGTTGAATGGAGGAAAGTTCGCTCCTGGATGGAATTTATTTACCAAGTATGAGTGAAGAGACAGATTCTCATTTGTATTTTCTTCCTGAGAATCTCAATACAATTTTAAAAATACATTTTAAAGTAGAAAATGATACAAATCATCTGTCCTTATCTTTTGATGAATAATATTCCGGGCTTTAGATCACATTTACTTTACCCCAATTCGACCCTTCATTCTGGAATTTCCTCAAGCACGTGAAATTTAGAAAAATACTCCCCCTTTTCCACTGCTGCTGAAAGACCCTTCTCAGTCAGAATCTAAAGACACCTTGAAGATTCCACTCGGAATCTCATCATCACTCTCGCATGCCACACGTACGTAGGGAAACATTCCTGCGGGATCTTGCCAAATACACTTAAAACGCATGAATTACGAGGCGTAAGTTGGCCAGCAAGCGGCAGCGATGGTTTGCTTCACGCGTCTCAGCCGTTCTTAAACCGTTAATGCGGAGTTTTGTGACCCGTAATCCAGGAATGGAACGACTACAATTTGCGCTGGGACCCGGCGCAATTCGGAGGCGTGAAAGACCTCCGAATCCCGCCGAAAAATATCTGGAAACCGGACGTGCTCATGTACAACAGGTAACAATTTTCGGTCGGATTAAGGCGACTGCTTTTTGGTGACTCGTGTTGAAATCATGGTTGCGTGGGTATTTGTGCCTTGGCCCAGTGCGGACGAGGGGTTCGACGGGACGTACAAGACGAACGTCGTGGTGCGCCACAACGGGTCGTGTCTCTACGTGCCCCCCGGGATCTTCAAGAGCACTTGTAAAATCGACATCACTTGGTTCCCGTTTGATGACCAGAAGTGCGAGATGAAGTTCGGCTCGTGGACTTACGATGGTTTCCAGGTGCTCTGCCTTTCTTCTCCGCTTCCACTCGAAACTTTTTAGTACCCCGAAGCGCTAACTAATTGAAACGAACTTCGCGCGGGTTTCCTGGTATCAAATTGCTTTCATCCCTACCCGCACACGCCTGTCGATTGCACTTCAAACTGTATTTACAAAACTTTTGGAAGCCCTCCTCAAGCTCAATGATTTCCTCGCTGGAAGAATGAGTCTTCAAAATAACGACGACCACCTCGGACGGAATTTCTCATTCTATACGTAGAAATCCCGATTTAATGAGATTTTGGAGAAGACTTGAGCCGGAATTCTTTACATTACTGACGAATTCATTGATTCGAAATTTTCCGAGAAGTGACAGTAAACGTTGTTTCTTCAGCAAAAAATGTCCCGCAACTTTTTCCAACAAAAGTTTTTTTCGTCAAAAACTTCCATGCACTGCTTAGAGATCTTCTTATATGCAGGAAAGGAAATTCCAAAAATCACACTTTTTGGAAGACCATTCCAGTGTGTCCTTTTCCCCCCTTTTTGCTTCAAAATAATGTACAGTATTTCGGTATCAAAAATATTACATCCAACCAATATACGCCAGGACCTAAAAAAAATATGTAAATCTTAAAAAATTGTTTCAACAATAATCTACAGTACTTGTAAGCATCTGTCCAATGCGAGAGGTCCGATTTCATTCAAAACGAGTATTTCACGTTGAACGTGAAAAACACCTTGTCAATGAACGTGTGGATTCGGAAATTTTCAGTTGGATCTAACTCTTCAAAGTGATGAGGGTGGAGACTTGAGCAGTTTCATCAATAATGGAGAATGGGACCTGATCGGTGAGAATATTTTCTTTCTTTTGGTTTTTACTTGATATTGAGATGATGAACTTCGGCATTTAAAAATCCGAGGTCATGGAAACTCTTACCAGCGAGATGGAAGTCGGTATAAAAATTTTTAATATTGCAAAATATGCTTCAGACGGTGCAAGACATTCTGCTCGCATTGTTGCAGTGAGAAGCGTCCTTTTTCATGTAATAAGACAGAAAAACATTTTTTCGTCTGAGTGGTCGCCATGAAAACTTGATATTTTTTAAGAGTTTCCATACCTGGATAACCTAGATTTTAAGATCATATCATGATGTTAAGGGTCAGGATCCAAGTTTCCATGTGCGTCTTTGCAACTCTGAAAAAATGAATAATGTACCTCACGTCGTAGTCCTACTATGTTGGACGTTTCGTGAATTATAAATATCAATTAAATTTTCAACGTACAATTCTTCTTATGTGGGAAAAATTGGATCGGAGAAAAAGTAAAGGTCGTATTGAGGTAAAAGTGAATGCATTGTTCAACAATTCGGCTGACTGGAAAGGTTAAAACGCATAAACTCATCATTTTCCACCACAAGAAAACTGAATAATGAGTTACTTCTCTTCATCTCGAGGCATTGGAATTCTTAGATGCATTTCTTTGCCGCACTGTTCCAGTTTTTTTTTTTTTCACTTTCTGAGTTGTCGATTAATCGCAGGATCTGGTCAGACTGAATACAGATTACAATTTTCCTGCAATAACTAGAGTGATTTTTGGGCCCACGAAATATTTGTTGGTTGATTGAATCTTGAATTTCTTATTTGAACGCCGGGATAATGGCGCCACTTCAAAAATGGACAAGTGCTATTTTCATGACTTTCGGCTTTCAGAGATTAAATCAAATTTCTGATCTAAACTCGAGCCGGAAATAATTCTATTCCAAAAGCGTAAGCTTAAAACATATTTCAACATCTTGAAAAATGTAAGATAATTCCAAATCAGGGCATGTTCCATCTGCCTGATCATTTGCAAATGGAAAAAGAGTTGAAATTTGCAGAAATGATGATGAATAACACTGGCATGCATTCGAGAGGATGAAATACAGTACAGTATTATCGGAAGTTTTAGAAGGAAGCAGAAACATTCTTTTAATATTTATTCGTCCTTAAATCGTATGAGCTATTCTTGGCATTTTGAAAAACATATATAATGCTGATTACAATTTTAATTTTGAAGGACTGATTTTAATTTTGAAGGACCCCTGGATTTTTATCTTATTTCAAAGCCTAAATCTCATCAAGATGTAACTCCAAACTAAAGTGGATTGAGGCTTCGATTTATTCGCTCCATATATCCCATTTTGGTTTCTCACAGGGCTCATCAATTTGACTAGCCCTGGTGTTAAGATTTGAAACTATAAAGATTTGTGAATTTGGTGAAGTAATGCAAGGTTCCTCGAGAGGATTGAAAAATTGAATGATTTTCGATTCTATTCAGCCTACGTTCACCCAAATGTATCTGCACTGTGAAGAAATCGTGGGTCTCTGATTATGATCTCAATTCACTCTCATTCCGTACTTCGTCCATTCTAGTGAGAAAAATATTGAAAGAGTATACTATTTTAGAAAAAGTCCAAGTAAATAGCTCTCCAAGATAACTCATTGATTAACTTTCTTTTTTAGAGCACGCGATGTTGAAACATTCTTGCATTTAATGACTCGGGCGTATTTCTGAGTTCATGGAGAAAAGTGTGAATATACGTTTGGCGTTGACAATTTTCGGATTTGTTCGCAGGGGTCCCGGGAAAGCGGAACTCCATCACTTACGCCTGCTGCCCGGCGCCGTACGTGGACATCACGTTTGTGGTTCACATCCGGCGGCGAACGCTGTACTACTTCTCCAACTTGATCGTGCCCTGTGTGCTGATCTCGTCCATGGCGCTGTTGGGCTTCACGCTGCCGCCGGACTCCGGCGAAAAGCTCACCCTCGGTAATGTAGAGAAAACACCATTGTACTTCAGGTCAAAATGCCCGGCTCTCAAAAGGCCCGCGGGCTTCTCCAGTGCAGCCCGCGGGGGGGGGGTGGATTTTAGCATGCGAGTCGCGTGGGACGGTTTGCCCAGAATGCTGGATTTTCGCAATCCGGGCTTCGAATTGCTATTCTTTGCCGCGGGAAAGATCTTGGCGGTTTTTTTTTTTTTTTTTTCACGCTTCTTCCCTTACTGAATGGGCTTGATATGCAGGCAGGGGCTTTTTAAAATCATTTTTCTTCTGCAAACGAGCTTGGGGGGGAGTTGGTAAATAACGTAACGCTCCTTTAATTTATGATGCCCGTGAATGGAATAATTTGAGTCCCACTTAGCCGAAATGCGTCAAGCCTTCTTCGTCTTTTTGCGAGTAAATCTTTAATTCAATTTTCGTATTCTTCTTTCCATGCCTCGGCTTCTTCATTTCTCATTTCCTGAATTCAACTTTTGTCCATCAACACCCGTAAAAAAATTTCTGCATAATATTTCATCATTATTCGAGTAGGAAAATGTGTAGAAGATCTTTGAACTCCTTTCTTCGTTCGATGCATAAGTTAACGAAAACAGTCAAATTTGCATTTTCTTTCGAAAGTCATTTTCTCGTTGTTGTGGGGAAATTTGCAGTGGACTGGTTTAACACGCTGGGAAAATACTGGTTCTTCCCCATCATGAGCATAGAACCCCCTCGTATGCGTGACCTTTGAAGGAAGCTTCAGACGTTAGAGCGTCAGGGTTGCCCTTACGACCTAGTCAGCGTGGCTGACCTGAATGGCGAGGAAATGCCGAAGAGAAGCATCTTCATAGACGCGTACACGGTGTTCCGACGCTTGTGTGGCTCCATCTGATTAAAAGCTAGGGTTGCAATTGCGCCGTGATGCATGCATCATTCCTCGTGATAAACTCAAATCAAAGCTTATCTTAATTCCGAAGGGAATTCAAGCGTTGCAATTTTCATTGAAGTTTCAGCAAATGATGATTAATGCAACCAAATTGGCTCTTTTCTTTGCCCGCTTTTATCCTAGCAGTTTTCTGAGCGCATCATCAGAATGTATCCTTAAATAGATTCCATTTTCGCGTCAAATCCACAATAAATGATGTTGGACATTTAATGAAAACGAAGAAACGTTTATTTTTATTTTTTCGGATGAAATGAAGCACGCCGAAGTGCTGCGAAACCTTCCATATTCATATCCATTATTTCGGTACCCCTCGTGCTGAGGGATTTCCAGGCTTCCTCGGCTTAACTCAGGCCCGTTAAAATTTGCACAGCTGCTGACTGTCGACTCTCATGAAGTTAGCATATTTTTCGCTGCAACTGCTTCCGGCAAAGAATATTAGGGGATAAACTCATGATGAATATTGCGTCGGGAATAGCTCGTATTAATAACTCCGAACGCTGCAGACTCAGCAGCTTAGATCCCCAGAATTTCAATATTTTAGACAGAACAATTTAATTTCATGCTTTTATTGCGGAATGTTTAGTGCGAGGCCAGACACACCGTATACCGAAATCTTATTTACATTCCGGTCACCCGTGCCATTTTAATCAGCGACTTACGATCCGGCAAAGATGATGATGATAGAAATTGGCTTTACGAGTGTCCTAATTAATTGAATTCAGGGTTAAAAGCACGTGAAGAAATCATAAGCTTGATGCAGACTACATTTCTTGAGCAAACATATTCTCTTCCTGACAAAGTTTCCCCTGAAAATTGCCCGAAGAAATATCCGAGAGTGGTTATTTTTCTAAATTTTTGTTTAAAATCTGAAATTTTATCGATTCATGGGAATAAGCTTTCATGATAAATTACTTTTTTTTGTGTGACTCAGATGGTTTAGCTTAGCAGCTTCTGCTCAGATGAGATGCGAAAAGTTGTCGGAAATAGTTAGACAACCTACTGGAATTGATATCTTGTATTTTGGAAGCGTCGAAAACCTTTAAAAATGACTGTTCCGGCCTTTTCGTGGTAACAGAACATATGCGGGGACCATTTTCATCTACATTCTGCGAGAATTGGAAATAATTGTCCTCCATGGAAGGTTCATTAATGATGCTCTCAGCTGACCTATGCGTTATCTTTCACCACAGGCGTGACAATCCTCCTGTCCCTGACCGTTTTTCTAAATATGGTTGCTGAAAAGATGCCTTCCACATCCGATGCGATTCCCCTCATAGGTAAATTCGGCATGAGGATGGCGATGACAATGTTGTACTTGGTATGCGGGCAGAACGCCGATGTAGACCAAAAAAAAAAAACGAGAAAAAAAACGAGGACCGCACACCACTTAGCGAGTAGCAGGCAGTTTTGTGAACACTTAGCCATGGATGTAGTTGCGTGTGATACTTGGAGGGATGTACAACAGAGGCCCTGCTAAGACCCGCTGGTGTTGCTGCTGCCGATGCTGATGGTGTTCTTGTCGCCAACTGCTGCGCTGGTTTCGCACGGGAAATGGCTCTGCTCACCCTCGACAGACGTGAGTGGGGTTTGAGCTGAACCCGTGTCGGACGGAGCAGCGAAAATTCCTGGACCTCGGTTCCATCCGGGGACGGAAAGCAGCAAGCTTGATGATAACAAGGAATACTATGATTTTTATTTTTTATTTTATTGACTGGAAATGGGTGGACGATGGGCCCCACCATGCTTCAATCTCCTGATTGACTAATTATTTCGACGCGAAGTCAGACATTGAAAAACGACAACAATGATTGGAGGGAAGATACAGTATTAACAAAGCAATGGACCATCTGTCAAGGGTTTTTCACCATTTACACACACAGAACCCGGTGTTCGGCTTTTAAAGGAGTTGTGACTCCAATAAATAGAAAATTAAACTTGATATCGAAGTAAATTTTTAAAAGGCATTGAAACATTCATGCGCGGATGGGAATAGCACGTAAACTATGACAATTATGAAAAAAAACTAATATGCTAATAAATCACATTGAAGTCATACATGGTGCATGCCAGTGGCACCCCGGAAAGGGTTAGGAAATATTGTCTTACCATGTTTTGAAAGTTGTAAAATTTAGAAGAAGTTTGGAAATACCTAGTTCAGATCACTCGTTCCCAGCAATCTGATGCTCCTTGCATTCCTATATAGGGGGATGCAATTTTCGTAGAAAGAAAGCCAACATAAATCAAATCGTTATAACTGGAAATTCTCACTTTTAGGATTCGGATTTGGTCCTTCAAAATTTAAAGTCGCTTTTGATCAATCCCCTCAGCCTCATGTTACAGCATTAATTTTTTGGCATGATGTTTAAACCAAGCGCCTAATAGGCAGCAGAAACTGGTTTAGAATGGGTTCTGGAAACTAAAGATAATTCAGAACTGCAGCTCCGTAGAATTTTCCGAATGGAGGGAAAGCTTGAGGGGTTTCTGGGAAACCCCTGAAAAATATCGCTTCGGAAAATTCTTAATGGGTCCGCCAAGGGACATGGGAGGTTCTCTTGACAGTGAGCCTGTTCAATGCTCAAACCGAGCAGACGGATGCTGAGCTAGGTTTAATGTTGTGGTTGCTCTTTCCAGGTGTGACGATTTTACTGTCATTGACAGTTTTCTTGAACCTGGTCGCGGAGACCCTGCCGGCAGTGTCAGACGCAATGCCCCTCTTAGGTACTTGCGGGCCCCACTCGGGCCGCAGTTTTGTGTGGAGCGCAATTCCTAGTTGGCTCAGTATCTCTTGTGTTTGTGATGTTCGCTGCATTCATGGTTTTTTGTATGCTTTCCCCTTCTTCGCATATATAACCAAAGCGTGTGGCATAAATAAGTGGAGCCGCGGCGTACGTTTCCGGTCCGACACGCAGCTTCTCGCTAATCATCGAACTGTTTCCCACCGAACCCCACAGTTGTTTTGTTTCCGAAGCCTTGAGTGCGAATTGTCCTTCAGTATGTCTCGATTGTTTCCGTTTCCGTTCCCTCGGATGTTCGCGGCTTTTTTTTGACCTCATTTCGACGACCGGGCCTGGAGAAATGTCGAACCAGCAAAGGCGCCGGATACCCTGCTTTTCGGCAGCGATTCAAAACATATGAGGCCATTAGAAAATTCCCTTCAATTACACAGATGTTTCCATTAGCACTGGTGAATGGTCAGTGCGTCACTCAGCATTTTGAGGATTAACCCCTGGCCTTTGAATCAAAGGATTCCACGTTGTTCGAGCAACTTGACGGATTATAGGGATCCCAGGAGCGGCGCCCGAATTTTCTTGGAACTGACCAGAATTCCATCGAAAAAAAAAAGCCTCCGCGAATGGGATACATAAGATGGCTGCCCTTATAAATATGTCTGAAGAGGGGCCGCGCTAGAGTTGTAGGCCAGCTGCTGGAAAACCTGCCATTTTCTGGGTGACAAACGGCCGAAAGTACAACTTGTGAGCGTGAAAAGTTTCCCTCACGGCTGAAAGCGATGTCTCGAACAGAAGATATGCCCTGCGAGCGGAAACCCGACTGCAGTTGAATGAAGAACAACTGAGAAATAAAACAATAAAGAGATGGAAAGATATAAAGAAATATATATTTTTCGATTAGATACGGGGCTGCTGAGGGAGCTAACGGCAAGTTGTGTAAAATGTAAGCCTGCGTGGCACGCTGGGTGAAAGCACAGGCATTGCACGAATCTAAAATCGTGCAATAATCGGTCATATCCGTCAAAAAAGCCTCCTTTAAAAAGGTAAAACATTAACGAATACCGAGCAAATGTAGTGCAATTTTATCTGAATGCTGAACCGTTTAAATTAAAATTCTGATTCAGCGCCCGAAGGTGTTGGTTGTACAATGATCAGAGGCACAAATAATGTAAGGTTTCATCCGAAGTTCAACTTCTCGGCTTTATTGGTTTATTAAAATTTGAAATGCGCTATCACTTTCAAATTTCGGTGTAGGAATAGGCCTAAGTAAGGGTTATCTGTATTCAATTTCAGAATCACTAGTCTCATTTTCGAGGAAATCGGGTATCAGTTATTAGGGGTAGATGACTAAATTTGATGGTTTGTAGCGACCCCTCGCCAGAACTACGCAAGATCCTTTGCGAGAAAAAAGATGCGGAAACTCCGCTCAGTATGAGGAGGTATGAATAGCAGCAGCTCCTGTGTTTATTGGGATTCTCTGGGCCGGGAGCTGCTGAGGAACATTCTGGAGCATCGGCTACAATAATTGCTCATCTCGAGCTCGAGCAGGACGTGTGTGCGACCGAGTCGTGGAAGCAGAAGAGAGTTGTTCCACAGACTACGCATATATCCCGCTGGTACATGATGTTTGTTCCCAGGAGAGCATTTTCCACCAGTTGACCGAGAACCCTACGCCAGGCCTTCATCATCAGATTGCCTGCGGCTGTGGCCACAGTGTCACGTCGGGTCTGTGGTCTGCCGAATAATTAAATGAGACCGTTGGAGTCACCCGGAACCCCTTGTTGTGTCCCGCTAGATGTCGCTCGCGTCCGTTTTCTGTTCGTTTTTGTTGTTTGTTTTTTTTTGGCTAGCTGGCAGCTAGCAACACGCATTGTTCGCAGCTTTCCCTCTTATCCCTCTCCCCATCTTTCCCCAGGGATCCTCCAGGTTGGGAACCTGGAGCAATCAGCATATTTTTGCATAGTAATGCAATCGATTTTTTTTTTGTTTTGATTTTTTTCCTCGGGCCTTGTGCCCGGTGAAGTGTTCCTGCTCGAGCGGCTGCTTTCTCCCCCTTTTTTTTAATAATGTAATGCGAAGTACATGAAACAAACCACAGGCGATCTTTTGAAAAGAAACTTCCCGGGAATTTCTTTATTGCGATTCCATTGAACGTAAACGCTTACATCATAAGTGTAAGAGTTACTATTCAATATCACGCTCAGGCGAGCAGAAAGATAACGGAGGTCCACGTCCTTTTGCGAACGTTTTATTCGATGCTTTGGGACAGCAACGAAATTAGAGCAGAATAAGGTTTACGACATCTGTCCCCTAACTGAATTGTCCATGCCTCGTTCTTCTCCTCTTTTCTTTCATTTTTTTGCCTTGCGAGGCTGAGAAACCTGCCGTTCGCATTTTCCAGAGTGAGTTGTTATGATGAAGACTGTCACATGTCAAATCTTGTTTCCCATTCATGTCAAATATCAAAGTCAAGGGATTTCTTATGATTGAGTCTGATTCAGAGTTGAAAGTTGGAGTGTTGCACTGGTAAACCTTCTTCTTGAATAGTCGAAGAATAAGTATATGCAAATGCCAAAACGGAATAAATAATCATGTTCTGATATTGGCACATTGGAGTGCGACGTGTGACTTGCCTCAGGATTGCTAACATATTTCAGAGCAGCCGCTAGAATGGGCAAAAATACGGAAAACCGTGGTTACCGACGACGTTTCTGCATTTTTTGCAAGTGTGACTTCTTGCAAAACTTTTTGGCACTCGTCCGAAACACACACGTGTGCTGTATTTTGATGCTGGCTACGACGTGATTTTTTGATGATCCCTGGGCAACCTCCAAGTATCATGGCATACGCTTAGGGCGACTTCGTTGCCATGAATCCTTTTTGGCGCTGCGACACTCATTGCATTTGGGATTTAGTTCATATTCTTTGTTTTGCTGTGGATTTTTCGCCGATTTTTTTGATTGCACATCTCCAAGATTTTTTTTCTTTTGACTCCGAAATTTTCGACTCCAGGTGTGCGGGAATTAAAAGTAAAGTAATGTTCAGCGCGTTCGTTTTTGCTTTGATCTATCGTCGCACCTTCGGTTTCTGCTCACGTTGACAGCTTTCGGATTCCCGACAGTAAATTCTGTCACTAAACATTTTGAATATAACTAATTTGATTTCCATGGAATCCCAGCTGCTTGCTGTTTCAGCACAGAATTTTGAGGAACATTTAGCGGAGGATAACTGCCATACGTGTTGTCTGATGCAAAATTGCTCCCTGGGTCGTATTTCCGAACTATATCATGTTTGATTGCTTATACAAAAAATTCGGCACAGGCCTGAAAGCTCAAATTCGAAAAAAATAAAATAAAATCCACTTTTATGATATAAACATTATCAGTAGTGTCGTTGATCTTTTATGTTGAACTAAAACAGAGAATTCAGCAATCGGCTGGGTTCCAGGACGACTTCTGTTTCCTGTTTTCGCTGAGTGTTGCTCGTAGCGATCAGCATGTCCGTCGAAAAAGTTTGCAGTTTCTAGTCAGTTTTCTTTTCACTAGCAGCACACGGCATGTTCTGTGAAAATGGCATGTTTAGTTGAATTTTGCACAGAACTTATAAATTTCCGACGATTCGATTGTTTGATTCACTCGTCTTGTGTGTGGGGACAAATACAGGGACTTACTTCAACTGCATCATGTTCATGGTGGCGTCATCAGTTGTGCTGACTGTGCTTGTGCTCAATTACCATCACCGCAACCCAGAAACGCATGACATGGCCCCTTGGGTGAGTACATCGAATTGCATGAGAGCAACATTGCTGTAGAATGACGTTGATCGATGACTAAACTTGGCCATTATTCATAGGGATATCCCAGTCATGTCAGGAGTAGTATGCAGAATGTTTACTGCTAATTTTTGATACTGTATGATCATTATTGATCGTCAATGCAAAAAAATGCAGAAACCCCTGAAAGGACGGTGGAAAAGGTATTTTCGATTTATACGCCGATTTCTTCTAGACTATTCTACCCTGTTTGATGGACATTTCTGCATTGGAATGAATATAAATTTGACAAAAAGTTGAAAGTTTATATTTAAAAAAGAAATACATTGAGCTGGGTAATATTTTGTGGAAATATCTTCTGATTGTCAGACACACTGTACTTCGAATTTTCTGAAACCGGATTTATTTACGAGAATAAGGAGTAGGGTTAAATTTGAGTAATGTATTTACTTATTTTGAAGGTATAAAAATTGAAATTCGCTCGTTTTTCTGTGAGATAAAAAGTAAGCTGCCCTTTTGTTTCATACAATTTGATGAAAATCAGATAATTCTGCTGATTTTACTCCCGCTTCAGTCAACAGCTCGAGTATTCTTTCATCGAAACTTCTTGAAAAAATCAGGATTTTGACTCTTGACGCGTCCTTGAACTGAAAATGTCTGTAAAGGTTTCCTGCACTTAATTTTAAAACAAATGTGTACAGTACTTCAGAAGTGTATGGTGTTGATCCGAGGCAAGCGTGTTTCTTATAATAACCTATGAACAGAAGATACCACAAAATAGAAGACGCGACCCGATTTTCTAAAGGATCATTTCCAGGGGGGGGGGGGGGGGGGGGTGCGTCTTTCACATCCTTAAGTAATTACGGTGCACTATTCACGCAAAATACTTTGCCCGAGAAACCGTTGAACAGCGATAATGACTTGTCATCCCCAGTACAGCGAGAAAGGACTGACGTTCTTCGCATCCTTCTCCTCGAACCCAGGTGAAGACAATCTTCCTGCAGTGGTTGCCGTGGGTGCTGCGGATGCAGCGGCCCGGCAAGAAGATCACGCGCAAAACAATCATGCTGAACAACAAAATGCGGAACCTGGAGCTGAAGGAGCGGAGCTCGCGGAGCCTGCTGGCGAATGTGCTCGACATCGACGACGACATCCGCGGCACTATGGGCATGGGTATGGCCATGGGCATGCATTCCCAGGCCGGGAACTCTGCCAGCTACCTTCGCATCACCGGCAACTCCATGGACGACTCGGCCACGATGCACAACTGCCTCACTGCCCAGCGCGAGCTGCAGATGATCCTCAAGGTGACGATTGCGGAAACATTCCACGTTTCGTGATTCGCACACATTCCCTTCACGCAGTCGCTGCCGTCGTGGCGTCTCTTGACCCCGCTTTTATTGGCCATGAGACACTAGACCTTCCATTCGTGCAATCTAAAACATATAAAGGTTGTCACGGAGCCCCTTGCTTTGCACTTTGTTTTTTACTAAATAAAAAAATGTGGTCAAGCACAGTAGAAGAAATTATAGTCAGTAATAAGTGTCATTTATTCCTTTCGTGATAAGAACTACGCCAAAAATCCACCCCAACCCCTTCATCTTCCATCATTCCAATAATTGCGGAAATGTTGAAGCAATGCGGGTCAAGGAAGAGGAAAACAATTTTTAAAATAAATTTCCTTAATGGTTACAGATAGAAACTATAAAAAACTCAAAACTTAAGCTCTTCAAGATTTTAGCAGCACTTTTTTCCAAAGATATTGTTAAGGTCATCTGTTAAACCCTGGTTCACTCTGAATATTTAAACCTCGGATGTTGAAAAAAATCCTTAATCCGATAATTCTTACAAGGAGATTTAAATTGTATGTCCTGGTGAAAAAGGGGTATTTTTCATGAAAATTGAAAAGGGCTCTTCTATAGAGGATGGGTGCACTGTATACATCCAGACAAAAAATCTTAGATTACAGTATAGGAATAGAATCGTTTGGAGGCGTGGAAATTGCTGTGCTGTGTTGTTCAACATTCAAGGAGGATCAGCGGTAACAGAATTCAAGTAGGTATAAGAGGATTTGCAGAAAGAGGAATGCGATCTGGTTGCTGTTCGACTGGCTCAAAAGTGTATAAAGGAGTCTCTTAGAAATAATGTATCACATTATTCCAGGAAAAGGGGTCAGAGCTTATTTCACGGACATTTGTGCTTTTTTTTCTGTGTAAAAGATTCCCTTTGATATCCGTAGCCTGAATATAAATTCTTCCGACCTGCGTTGCTTATTATTCATGAAGACGCAACGAACTATCTCTTCTGAGAGTATTTCTTACGGGTAGGTTTCATTTTATATTTTTGGAATATGGTGAGCGTTATGTAATAATCTGAATACAAGCAAATATACATTTCATGATACCTCTTGGGGTTTCGTTGGGAAAAATCGTATAATGACAAAGCGCTGTTTAATTGAGATTCACTGAAAAATGACTATATGCGTTTTTCCTTTGAATTAGAGTCTTGAGTGTTGAAAAACGATATTTTATTATGCTGAAGAAAAAAGACTGTTCCGCCTGAATTACTGCCCTATTTCCTTTTTCTTGTGCATTTTTTTTCGAAAATAATATTTTCCTATTCAAATATGGCGCCAACATCTTGAAAACTATTCTTCTGCTTTCAGTCAACTTTTCTTGAAGCTGATTTAATGAAATTTGTTGCGTAAATCAAGAAGTCGAAAACTCGCCGCTTTCAAATGTGGGGAATGAAAAAATAAATAAAATTAAATGATTAGCGTTCAGGAAATTTTGATTTGTGGATCTGATTTTTATTTTTTTCGTTTTCGTTCCGTCGAAAAATTTTGAACATTAACTCAATGTCTGCCAAGACTGCAAGAAAACGTTGATACCATCGTTTTTTTTTTTTTTCAATGTAACGGAATTTTGTGCAGTATGCAATTTTCCCGTCGTCGTCTGCGTATCGCCGTTTGTCGGCTGTTTGAACGGTGAACGTGCATGCGAGGGGGTGTTTATCCCACCCCAGGTTGTCGACAGAAACGCTTTATACAGAACAGTACAGTACAGTAAATAGGGTATCCATCAGCCAAAACAACCTCGACGCACGGAAAACACGTCGACACATTCGTCGCTTGTTCGATCGAAAAGCCGGCGGAGTGCATGTAATGACGCGTGTGAATGAAATCGATAGGAACTGCGGTATGTCACGGGCCGGATGAAGAAGGACGACGAGGACGGGGAAGTGATTTCCGACTGGAAGTTCGCCGCCATGGTCGTGGACCGGTTCTGCCTCATCATCTTCACGCTCTTCACGATCGTCGCGACGCTGGCCGTCCTCTGCACGGCGCCGCATTTCATCACGTGATCGGGTCGCCGCCTCCTTCCGCCGCCGTTTTCTCGCTTCCTCCTCGCGCGGCTCTTTGGGTCACATTGTGATTGGTTCTACGTTCATTGCTCAATTCTCCCATCAGTCAAGTCGGAGCAGCGAGGAGGAGTGAGGCAGAGCACCTCCTCCTCCTCCTCCTCCTCTCTGCTCCGATCATCCCACCCTGATCGCTCCGGGGTTCGGACAGGGGATGAAGCCGGGGATTTGACCTGCAGCGGTTCCTGCTGTTGATTGCAAGCAATAAGAGCGACCGAAATGAGAGCGAGCGAAATTCGTCCTGTTTTCTCTGCGGTACACACACCGACGCGGCGCCTCGTCTTCCGACAACGGATATGACGGGCCGGTCGCGGCCATTACCGCACAATTCAGCGCGTGCCGAAACGGTGTGTCATGCAAGGATGGAGGAGCCACAAGTGTCGAGCCCCGTAAACTCGCTGTCACCAGCACTGGTGCTTGCGATCGCAATCCATCCATCTAGCCATCTATCATTTTATTCCTCCATCATAATACTGTATATCCTTCACTTGACTGCGGAGAATATTACGTCCTGTCAGCATGTTGTGTAGATGGAGCGAGAGAAAAGTTGAAGGTAATTCAGCGCACGCAAATATTCACGGATGAAGGTCAGCATGCGAGAGCAGGCATTATAATGCAGGGTTTTTTATCTTGGCGTAATAATCATGGCGAGGAGAAACTATATAAAAAAAATTACACTATAACGTACTCTTGAAAGTCCAAATAAAGCATTGTACGTGGTGGAAGCTTTTTATCTCTTGGTTGAAACTCGAAAATATTGTACATGTAATATCCTTTTTCTGCTATCAATTTCAAATTGCCGAAACCATTCCTTGTACGAATAAGCAGAACTTGCGAGAAAGTATTGGTACCGTACTTGCAGAAGATGCGCATCTTAGTTATTCGGATAAAATTTCAAATAAATGTACCTTATCAGACGCGCATACTCCTTTTTTTTATCAAAAAAAATTCACAGCCACATTGAATTACACTGTGCTGTTCTTGTATCATATTAATCATAGAATCATTCATAAGATGATCATGCATAGCATTAAAAGTTATTTTGAACGTATATAGAGAATTTTCTCATGAGCAATTTACCCAACATGATCCAAGCATGGCTCACACACTCAAGTTTCCAAGAATGTCACTCGAAAATGTGTGCCGAAGTACTGTACTGTGTTACTTACACCTCATTTTTTTTTTGCTGGGTAAGATTAAAACTAAAATGACTTGCATGAATAAAATTTGTTAGGTCTTTTGAATTTTTTGAGGGGTTATAATTTTCTTGTTGATCATGGATTTATTTGAAGTTCAATTACTGACTGTTGTATGGACTAGCTCTGTTTTGGGACATTCTCCTTTGAGATGCGCCGTTTTGGAACACGCTGAACTGTCCCGACACGTATCATCGCAGCAACCAGGACGATGTGGTTGTGGTGGAGCCCAGTAGGGAAACACTCGGCGCTCCTCCGGGTCACTTCGAGGTCCGAAAATTAGAGAGTTTTTGCGGCCGCTAGGGAATTTTTTTAATTGCTGTCTGCTTAACAATTAGCATCCCTTGGTATTTTTATGGGATCTAGGTGCTAGCGATTCCTGTTGGATGTCGAAGTTTTTATGGATTTCTCGAGATTATCTTTTACTCTTGTGAGTTGAGCGAGCCGAGATGAGAATTTTGCGAAGGTCGCACTCCGTTTCAAACTCAGTACGGCTCCCATTCAGGAGCAGTTCGTTGTGCATAAAGTGCGTTCGCCAAATCCGGAGGAACTCGGTGGGTCGAACATTTGTCATTGTTGGAACGACTTCCCTGACTGTCTTGGTTCTTTGGACTGGAACTCTAAAGTGAGATTTATGCCGCCGCGTAAGAAAACTAGTCTGGTTCCCGGATGAGAAGGTGGAATGTTTTTGTTACTTCTCCTTTTGTGTGTGCAACGTTCATTAATTGCGCGATTTGTGTTTTGTAGGCGATTCTATAGCTATAGCTTTGTGTATTTGGACGGGCTGAAACCACGGACTTTTTACGGCGGAAAAGAAGATTTGAATGGAGGTTTCGTTTGGTGGTTGATTTTTGTAAGAAAAGCTGCCGTTCGGAAGAGAGAATCGTTTAATTTTCAAAAATTGCGGTGACCCCGGGGCTGCTGGGTCGACTGGCAGCCAGTGCTCAACGCGACGAGGTCGCAGGGTTTCGGGCGCGGTGTCGCAGTGCACGTGTATGATGCGTTTGGTGTGGGTGCGTTTCATCCTTTCGGACCTGGGTTATTTTCCGTCGGGGTTCGGGCCGGGTACCCGGTGTTGCTTGATTGCTCTGCTCTGTTCTCTTCTCCGCTTGTCCACTCGGACGCACAAGCGACGACTGTCTCTTCTTGGGTGTGGACAGTTACCACAGACGGCCAGGACCTGGTAGTCTTGCGCCGGTCACAAGTTGGGCAGTTTTTTGCAGCCTGGTGATAAAGGCATTGCCAATCGATGAGCGAGGGTTTGTTTGCTTTGATGTTGGCTCAATTACCAGAGACGGCCGCGTGCCGGGGAATCCAGCTAGAGTGGTTCTCCTGTCTTCCTTCAAAGCGTCAATATAGCCTCCTTCAATCAGTATTGAAGCCCGCGCTGGTCTTTGTTCATTTCTGTTGCTGATGCGGCTCTCTCGTTTGCCTCCTGCTCGGGTCAATTAGCAGACGCGAGTTTTGCATGTGCCGTGTCGTGCGGATATGTGGCTCTGAACTTGAAAGCCTCCGGAACTTGAAGAAAAAAAAGTGAGTGTCTGACGACGACGACGACGAAGCAAAAGACATTTCACGTACACACCCTGCAAAGTCAAGAGTCAAAAAGCATACAAGTTTGCAATTGAGCATAACTGACGAGAATAAGCCAACCTATCTTCCACTTTGCAGATGCAGTCCCATATGCTCCCCTTTGATGAGAAAATAACTTGGAACTAGAATAAGGTTTTGCTAGAAAGGTTGTATAGAAATATTCCATATGTATGTTATACTCTCTCGCCATTTCTGAGAGCTTTGCACTCTTCAAGTACTGTACCTTTCCGATAACCGTGCCGAAATGCTCAAGAACTGAGTTGGATTTTCACGAGCTCTCCTATTGAACAATTCAAGACAAAAGACATCAGTCATGCATAACTAATAAAAATCAAATTTTACTGTGACCAGCAAATTATTTTCAAATATACTTGAAAAAAATGAGTTCGGAAAATACTGTACAAAAGAAACTAGTTTTCTTTCCCAAGCTGATGAAGTCTTCTTGAGAAACTGAGCTGTGTTCAGTCATTCGAATGCCCAACAGGAATTCCAAGCATTCTGACTTCATCCTGGCGGAAAGGATAACATTGTTCGCATCCAGGTAAATGCAGGTATACGTGGAATCCATTGAAAAGGTCACTCAGATAAATAAGGAGAGGCTTCCCTCACATCAATATCAAGGTTGGAAGTCACTCATCTATCCGGATTAGGGATGCTGTTATGGTTTTAAAAAAACATTGTATCACATGGAGGGATCTTTCGTTTCAATTGAATATTTTCAAGAAGAGTTGAGCAACAACAAAAAAAGAATTCTTCATGAACATCCGCATCTGGGATTGATAATTAATCGGCCTATAGGAAAAACTGGCTACAATGCATCATATTCTTGAATCTCCAGCATTAGAAATGTTCATTATACAATCTTTTATAAGAAATTGATGCCAACTCAAGATGTAAAAAACCTTTTACCAGTGAACAGAAAATTTGTCATTATGCAAGTTAACATAGTGCTAGATTGCTTCAACTTTTGCTCCTGTGAAGCATAAACCAATCCATCACACCATTAGCGTACATCAAAACCTGGTGGAGTTATGAGTTCAGTCATAAAAATTTTGAGGAAACTTCCAAGTTTCTGGATGTGCAGCATCAAAATAACTTGAAACTTTTATTTCGTCTTTTTATTTAAAGGAAACCTCAATCGTATGCTTCTCTTCCTCCCCAAAAAAATGTTCCACAACGACATCAGGTTTTTTACTCAGCATCTGCATTCTTGGCAACCCATAGAACAAAAATTGAAAGCCTTCCAACTTCACTAATGAATCATTGACACAATTATTACCAACAAAGATTCTTGAAAGGCAATCACTGACAAGACCTAACAGCTGACATTTCTCATAGGTCAGTTTTCTTCCTAAAATATTTTGATGTTTTCCGTAGTCCTTTCACTAACAGACCGTACAGGACGCCGAATAGAAATCCCTACAGGAGAAATTTTCATCGGGGATTCTCCATGACACACAAAACTGATTTCTCATTGTACAGTAATTGTGCAATGGTCTCTCATGCACATTCCATACGCATTGGACGGATTTTGTACATTAAAACATTAAATAGCAGGCAATGGAAGTCTATGCAAAATTGTCCTTCATCGTCCTGCAATGATGATTTGCAGATGGCTTGCAAAACTTGTGATCACCGCTTAAAACTGTAGGAAGAACTTTGAAGGTACTGAACAAATTATGCAAACCCGAATTCACAGTACTGTACTCTCCTTTTCCCAAATGCATCTTCTTCTCTCGAATTCAATAGCGATGGAAGTCTCAGACCTAATGTTAAATGCAACGATTAGAAAGTTAACTTGCAAGACTTCGATATTCTTCATAGGGTCACGCTGAAATCGCTAACCCGTTCTTCAGCGCGACATCTATGCAACAACTGGAAACTTATCCTGCGGAACTGCAATAATACTTTGTAGACTGTCGCTAACAAACAGTCAACAAAGTCGCTGACGAATTTTTTTTTGCGACATCTATGCGTAAATTTAAAAAGATAGCTTGCAAGATTGCAGAAAAGTTTTGAAGGCTAGCGCTGAGGTCGCTAATGGTGAAAAGTACCGGGAAATTCTGAAAGTGCGGGTTTGAGGTAGGCGTTCATAAACCGAGGGGGCGAACGTCAGCGTATGCCGTCCGCCGAAGCCGCGCGAGCGAGCGGGGCATGCATGATAACCGAGACTCTCCCCGCAGAAACCGCGAGGGAAACGTAATGGGAGGGTGGACGTAGCTTCGCTGCGCTGTCGGCAGGAAAACGTTCGGGAGAATCGTTTATGAACGTCTGCCGCAGAACTCACTCCTAGTTTTGCGTTTCCCGTCCCGTCTCGCAAACCTTGCCAGTCTTGTGTGAGAATGAATCTCTCTTCTTCTGTACGATGTGGAAAACGAGTACAATACTGCAAGAACAGTACAGTATTTTGTTAGGATGCGGAAAAGAAACCATAGCTGCAAAAATCCAATAAAAGATGTATTTCATTCAGTTCGCGGCAATAAATTCAACACAAGCGTTATCTTGCTTCTGCACCCAAGATTCGATGCTGATTATGAATACGGTTCTATTTTATAACCGTGCTTCTTTTGTAAGCTTAGGTCTCGTTTGACACCCTCAAGGTAGTCTAAGTGACTTTAGGCAAAAGATCTGAGCTAATTTGCGGCAAATTTGCGTAGCACAGAGTACGTAGCGCAAGAAGTTCATAAATAAAAATTTGGTCGCATTTTCTTCGAATTTCGACGGTATCCTGGAAATGTTAGAATTGTGAAGGCTTGAAAATATAAAATAGCTTTTTCCAAGTTGAATTTAACTGCAGTAGTACCTCATGCAAGGAATGTCTCTTATGAATGAATGAAAGGCTCAGCTTCAGAGCACCCACAAAAATGTGTCTCATTCAACAACAAACTGTGCATCATTGAGCAAACCTCTTTTGCTGAGAAAATGCCTCAAAGAGTGAATCAAAGGATAATGAATGACTAGCACCAGCAGTTGACCCATGAAGAGGGCAGAGAGGAAAAATATCAATACAGTACAGTACAGTACCATACCGTACTGTACTTCAATACCATCTACCGACTTGTCTCCCGCCTATAATAAATTATAATAGCCAATAATGGAGGCCTTTGTAAAACTGTGCCGAAAAAGCAATGATTCTATAGATAAAATATTGGCACGAAGAAAACATTCGAATCCAGAGCAAACTGTGGGAGTTCCATCAGATTCACTGAAATCCGTTTTCTAGACTCGATTAAACGCCGTTTAAACGCATCGTGTCTCATGCATCGGCAAGAAGTTCATAAATAAAAATTTGGTCGCATTTTCTTCGAATTTCGACGGTATCCTGGAAATGTTAAAATTGTGAAGGCTTGAAAATATAAAATAGCTTTTTCCAAGTTGAATTTAACTGCAGTAGTACCTCATGCAAGGAATGTCTCTTATGAATGAATGAAAGGCTCAGCTTCAGAGCTCCCACAAAAATGTGTCTCATTCAACAAACTGTGCATCATTGAGCAAACCTCTTTTGCTGAGAAAATGCCTCAAAGAGTGAATCAAAGGATAATGAATGACTAGCACCAGCAGTTGACCCATGAAGAGGGCAGCAAGGAAAAATATCAATACGGTACAGTACAGTACCATACCGTACTGTACTTCAATACCATCTACCGACTTGTCTCCCGCCTATAATAAATTATAATAGCCAATAATGGAGGCCTTTGTAAAACTGTGCCGAAAAAGCAATGATTCTAGGAAGCAAGGTTTTGCGGGAAAGGAATATTGTTGCAGAGAATAAGTACGCACAGTACAGTACTGTACATTCAGAATGTAAGGCGCGATCATCGCTTCTACGAAAATTCAAGAATTGACAAAAAATTTGCAGCTTCGATGGAACAGTACGTAACATGAACAGTACATGCGAACATTGCCTGAACTTATAGAAATAAAATGAAAATTGTAGAATCAATCTACGTTATGCCGATGGAGTCGCAACTTTCAGAAACTATGATACAGTACTGTACTTTTAGATTAAAAGTATTTTTCAAATGGTTACGACCGTAATATAGACCATGGGTTTCAAAATTCACCTTGTAAAATGGCAAAATTCGAATTGTGTGAGAATCCTGTCCATATTTGGCACGCAAACCTTGGAAAATTGACTTACACGTGTCTAAACCGTCAAGGGCTTCCCATTTCCTATGCATGAATGCAATTGACAATACAGAACGGTGCAGAGAACAATGCTGAAGAGAAGTAGATCATATACAGTATTCATGAAAAACCCTGGTTGTACTGTATTAGAATCCTTTGGTTTTGCAGTGGGAGGATTGAAAGATATAGTTGTAGACGAAATACTGAAAGAGCTGCAGATAGATGTCACCTCCACTTTATTTCACAATCGCCAAGAGCAGCTCTGTACAGTACAACATTTCTTGCCGTTCTACTGGGGAATGGCAGTTGAACTGTTGGTCGGATTAGGCACGCATTGACATGAAGTGAGTCTGAGAAAGCGCCTCAGCCTCCGAGGAATTCATTCCCGGAATCCTCAATGAGGATGAAATCAATCAGTGAACCGAACTTCACTCGAAACTTGCATAAATCAATCTCATCGCCTGGCGATGAGAGCTCATCTCAAAGCCGCAGTCGATATAAAAAGTTCACCAGCACCCCCGAAGAGAAGTAGAAATTCCCCAGAAAATGGTTTTCACGACAGCAAAACCCGTCTTTCAAAACAAAAGAGGCATCTAACAGAACATTTCCGAGCTCGAACCATGCACCAATATCCAAGCATATAAATTCAAAACTTCCTCCTGATGAACGTGAGGGCAAACAAAAAAGCATGCAGAGTTTATTCAGAGATTTGATAGGGGACTACGCAGGAGTCCACTTGTTGATGGAACCAGCGGGGTCATCAGTGCTTATCTCATTCCACACCGGAAAAAGCTGTTGATGCGTCTTCATTTTTTGAGTCACCAATGGCAGAAGCTCGGACGCAACGAAAGCATTTCCTTCAGGCGAAAAGTGCAGCCCATCTATCAGCAATTCTTTCCAGGAACCCTGCAGAAATTTTTTTTTCAAGAAATCAAGAAAGTGACCTTCCTGTTGTCATGATTATCACAGCGACGGATGTGCCAAGTATACGAAAAATCTCGCTCACATTTCCGAACTTTTGCTGCATCAGATCGCAAAGGTTGACGCTGCTGACGTCAACGAGACTCGCAACTTCGTCGCACTTGCGAGCGTATTTTTTGGCTTGCTCCAAGTCGCGGTCTGTCACCTTCTCTCCGTTGACCGCTGGAGGACCCATCAAAATGATTTTGTCCGCACAAACTCCTTTAGCCTAAATTTTGAGACTTTAATTGAAATCGGCCCACTTGTGATTGAGACATTTTCAACCAGGCGTTCCAAAATCTCAGCGGGAGCTTTCATACCTTCACAAACTGCACCATCCAAGCCAAATTTTCCGCGTACTTTTCCAAGGGTACATGCTGTTGGGGGTTCTTGGTCGCATTGGCAACGTCATTTGCACCTGCGTCACATACATTTATTCGTTACTTGAAGCAATTTAGTGAAATTTACACTCCTGCAAATAGCTCAGAACTGAACGCGGAGCTAAAAAAAAAAAAGAAAGTTTCAGCGTTATTGGCTGTGTAAAGATGGAATTCCAGAATGCATAAAACGCCGTCTGATTGGCTGGATTTGCTGAAAGTCGAATGACAAATTACTGTAGTTAAATACTTAAGGAAATGTAATGAGGGAATTTCTGGAGGGGGGGGGTGTTGAAAAAAATCTTGTTTCTATGAGAAATTGATCCCGAGATTTTTTTTCAGTTACATTGGGCCGTATTTCGTGATACGAAATATTTTTGCGGGGCTTCGTGAATTGGACTGGTTTTTAGGGCTTCTTTATACATCAATCCGAAAAGTTTTCGGCAACAGGGTCTGAGCACTTGCACAATTTCTCAGCACATTTTTTTTTTTTAGAAAAAATGTATTCCGTATTTAGCAACTATCGTATTCCCGAAAAAATTAAATTCTCTCGACCATTAGAACCCCATTACAGTATAATATACAGGTAAGACTTTTTTTTAACAGGAAAACGTCTTACCCAGGAAAATGACAACGACAGCAACCAGCCCATCAAAAGTGTTTTCGATCCTTGGCAACAAGTGTCTTGTCATGACCGAGTTGTAGCCAACGAACCCACGAACGATTACGTCACACCTACGTTGCAGTGAATTGGCTAAGATGGTGGCCCATCCGTTATTCGGGTCCATTGAATATTGGGTCAACGAATCTCCGAGCAAAATCACCTTGGGCCACGTCACAGTCGATTGATCACCCATTTTTGAACTGGAAGTTACCCACTTCCGATTTCTTATTTCAAGGTATGCCAATATTACAAGGAAACTGAAGGCGATCAGTCCGAAACACCACCGGGTGTTCCAAAAGTGCGATCTTTTCGTGATAGTCATATTGGATTTGTTGTTGTGTCAGCGTCAATGGTGTCCGAACTTGACTGTTTTCAGCGTTTTACCGGCGGCTTCCACATTAATGCAGATACTGTGCAGTATTTGCTTTCAACTGACAAAATCTTTTAATTGTAACGTACGTTTTTCCTTGTGTAAAAAGTTGCGTGGTAATTTTCATTTCATTGGCACAATAATTAGACTCCCGATTTCCGAGGGAAGCGTTTCAGGATTTTGCATTTCGCGGATTAAGCTGGTGAGTTCAGACGGAACTGAGCAACGGACTCCCTCCAATTCCAGAGAACATAAATGCAATCAGCGTTCTTCTTAAATTTGTATGTTTTTCTGAGGCACAAGATAAATCAAGGTTCGTTCAATGGATGGCGCCTTATATTCGAGTAACTGCAGTAGCAAGCTTATCAGTTCAACTGCTGGAGCCAAAACGGAGTGAAATGCTGTATGCGAAATGATTCGAAAAATATTTTCGCCTACGTAGTCTTCCGAAAAACAAAAATTTCCGCCTTTTCTTTTTCCTTTTTTTTCAAGCAGGTTAGTACGCTTTCGAAAAGTCTTCACGTGAGAAAAATTATAGCTTCACTTCATGTAAGTGCCGTGGTTATTCCAGCTTGCATGAAACACGTGACGCCCCCAGTTGCACATTCAAAAGTTCCGCCCTTTACGAGTGTAACAGAAGGTACAGAACTACATACAATATAACAGTACATACACATTTTTCAATTCGTCACTCGAACATCAACACCTGATGACCGGACGCGAATTCCGAGACATGAGCAACTTTTTTTTTTAATAGAACAATGTCAGTTTTCATTACTGTACAGTGTAACCGCACTCGTATACAGGCAGTTCGAATATATTTTTTATTACACATTTGGAAAGAAACGCCAGCCAGCGAAGCTGATACTGCACTGAGTTCCAACGCACTTCGTCAACAATACTCGCTGAGGCATGTAAGCGATGTCATGTCGCTGAACTCCACCTGCAAGACGTTTTACTTGTAATTGAAACATCGTCTTGGCATTGTTGAGACGGATTCCTGTGCTTCCTCAGTTACAAGGTGATTTTAGCTCTCATAATCGACTCTTTCCCTGTATTACGGTACATATCAGATAAAGTGAGACGTGGTTTTCTCTCAATGCTTGATTCCTGATATTCTGGTTCTAAGTTGAGCCGAAAATTTTCTGTGCCCAGCCTGTTGTGGCTCAGTGCATCACTAGAATGACCGAGGCTAAAATGGGATGGTCTTGTTTCACGAAAGCTCTTCATTTATACCTGTCGGTTCACCAGTGAGCTGGTCAACTTAAAATGGCCCATCGATTTTTTCATGCCGGATTTGATGCAAGGAAGGAAATCAACTCCAATGAATGTATCAAAATGCTTGGAATACGTGGCAAATATGTCTCCGAAGTGTCAAATACTACAGGCTTTGGATACATTTTTCAAACTCATACGCGTCACCAAATTTGCTGTTGGCCCTCAAGAACAGATGCGAGCCCTTGTTTATACCTATGAAACCTTTCATAATTATTCCTTCAGTTCATATAGGTGTCGCTGTAAAACCACAAAAAGTATTCACGGTGCGCGTTTGAGTTTTGCCTCTTTTCTTTTATTGATATCTTATACCGTCCCCATGAAGCTGCCAAACGAATACCTGGGACTTTGTTTATTACGTTCATGTGTAGGTGTCGCTAAACCAAATTCAAAAGTAAGTCCGGCGCTCTGAAGCGACGTTTTTGAAGCAGTTTGGGAATGGGCAAATTCACTTGGTTCTACGGAACGATTTCTTGAAGCGTGTTTTTCCCTTTCAGAAACAAATTACGACGAATTTCTTGATTATTTTTCTAAACGGTGATTTGACTCAGCATCCCACGTACGATATACTTGGTGCAAGGACATTGAACTCCTTCTTTCGTGATTATACATCTAAAAAAAAAAAAAAATCTTTCCTTGGCATAGGCACGGTGTGTCTCGTACATCGAACACATGATTGGGCTAGTATAACCGACAAATAACATTCCTTACACCTGAGAGTGATGGGGGCAACATTTGAACTGCGGAAAAAGAGAAGATTACGAAATTTCTGCCTATGCATTTGACGATTTCAGTAAGTGTCGAGTGTCATAATTTTGTTGCGAAATTGCCAGGCCAGGGAACATTTTCTGACCATATCTCCTCATCGTCCCGACCTGGAGCTGGAACGGTCGTTCGCTCCAGCAAGTCAAGCAAAACATATTTTCATCGCGGAATGCTGAACGACGAGGACTTGAATCATTTTAATTTTGACAGAATCGGTAGTTTGTCTCTTTCGAGAAGAGGAAAAAGTGAACCTGACGAAGTGAAGCCATTCATCTATGCATCCACTGAAACGCTCAAGTTGACATTCAACTCGCAGGGAGGAAATCCACGGACAACAGTTCATTAGATGTTTTACCTCATTTATTTTATGAAAATTTCGCGGATACTTACTGCATGCATCGTAATTATATTACAACTTGTCATAAGAAGCTCGAACTTTCGATGGCTCCCACTTTGAAACTTACGACGACGACCTCCGTCTCGCAGCATTTGACTTCGAACAGAAATGGCTCCGATCCATCTTTTTTTTTTTTTTACAGCAAAAAAGAAAACCAGACGCAAGCAAGTGTGTGTGTGTGTTGGTTGAGCAATAGAATAACAAGCGGTTGTTTTGTCAACAGATCGGGACGAGTATCGAAGTGCGATGGCCGAGCTCGACCGCAGGAGAAGCCGCATAATCGGCGCCTTCCGTCAGTTCCCAGGCAAGGCGACCCCCGTCATCGCACGATTGCAGACCGTGAGACGGGCCATTAAATGGGCCGTCCGTAACGAGCGGGCTTATTTGCGCCAAGGCACCTGGCGGCATTTGCATATCACTTCCACGGCTTCCAGCTCAAATCCATAGTATATTTTTCTCGTACCTTATTACAAAACAGTTCGGCGCTCGTTTTTCAAAGTACCACCACTTTCCCACAATACTGTTGTTTTCCGCCCACCCCCTTTCCCTCTGCCTGATCATCATCATCATCAGCATCATCATCGTCGTCGTCCCTCTTTCTGCCTGTTGCTCATCGATTCGTCCACGCTTTCTCACAATTGCTCACACACGCTCATTCACACACGCGGAAAAAACCCTTTCGTGATGGAGGCGGGAAACCAGCAAGCGAGGCAGTATTGCTCCTGCGCACTTTGAGCACTGACACCCACGCCGATATCGGTCTCGTTACGTCCGTGCGAATAATGTGCACGTGCTGATCCGGACTGACCACTGCGCCACTAGCTCAATAAGAGTCCACAAAGCATCTTAAACAACCGTCCCCGAAACCTCAATATCCGCTTTCCTTCTCCGTAAAAAAAAAACAAAAAACAGAACACCAATCATCACTTGAAACGCTGAAACAGACGCTCCTCGAAATGAATTCCCTGATGTGCCCTCTTTGGTGCGACCAACATTCAGGCGAGATTCAATTGAAAGAAGAAGGAAAGGAAAAAAAAAAAAAACAAGGAGGCAGACACTAGAAGAGCGTCAGATCTCACACGAGCTGAACAGAAACCAGCAGCTCAAGTTCGAGATTTTCTCCTTAAATGAGGCTCTCTGCTACGTGAAAGGCGTGAAGTTCTACCGACCCCCCCACCCCACCCTGGTTGCTTTGGCACAGCGAGGCTGCGATTGAGGCGTGGACGATGCAGACGCGAGATGTCACTACTAGTGAGCGCAGTGTGCAGCCGCCGAGTCCCGGCAATTGTCAGACAGGATCCGAATACTTAGCGACGAGGACAGCCTTTAGCACCACGCGAAACGAAGGGGCTTGCGACTCTCAACCTGGCTCCACAATTTACACGACCGGAAGCGTACGATAAATATCCTGCTCGACACAAAAAAAAAACAGAACAAAAACGACAAAAAAAAAAAAAACTGCGAGCAGCAGCCACACTCTCGCACCCGAGAACGATATTCAGCATGATGACTACAGCTTAATACTGATCGTAATAAGATGGGAAGCGGCGCGTTTCTCTTTCTCGGTACTCGTTGAGATCAAATGACCAAGAGTCGGTTGCGTCAGAGCGAGCGTGTGTGTGTGTGCCAAAATCTCGTTCGCTCAATCTTTCTCTCTCTCCATCTCTCTTTTCCACTCCCTCTCATTCATTCCTCGTCCTCCCAGTCTACCAAACTCAACACACAATTTCTCCACTCGCAACGGTCGCAACAAAAATGCCGAAAAACCTAGAGTAGATCAGGAGATTCGAGAAAGATCCCGCTTGCCCAGGAAGCTGAGAATCACTGCGACTAAACACTGCAAGAATTTAAGCATCGTACACAGACATTCGAATGACATCTGTCCGCAACGTCAAGCTGAGATTTGCGTAGTCTCGCACACTCGTTGAACTGGTTCGAAATGCGATAAACATTTTGCTTCACTCCCCATCCCCCTTTTTTTTCTTTTCTTTAAAGCTCCTGAAAATATATTCCCAGACCTCACCTGGGGGTTTTTTTTTTTTCTTCAGAGGAATTCAGAGAGATGCTTCCCCCGGGGCTTAACATGAAGAAAATTTTCGATTTCCCTATTCGGTAGATTCGACGCGGTTACGTATGCATGACTCTTGAAAACTTTGCAGCAAATGACCGAGCTTTTCGGCAATTTTGTGGGCAGCCCGGACTCTTGAAAAAAACCCTTTCACACCATTCGCTCTTCGCCCTTGCCAGCGTGTCCTATGCCAATCCATTGCAACGACAACCCGAAAACAAAAATCAGCAATCGACCAACGAACCATCAATCAATCAATCAATCAATCAATCAAGCAGTCAACCAACCAAACAAACGGACAAACAAACAACCGAGAAGCAATGAAAGGACACTTGTCAACGAGCCGCTCGTCTCTCGCATTCGCAGCGACGGTGGCGGCACCAGCGGCAGCAGCAGCAAGCAACACCGTGCCCACCGACACTCGGATGGAAAACCAAAATAGGAACACACAGTACGAAATACTGAACGTAAAGCTTAGAGACTCTTCCAGAAACGCACGTTCCGGGGCAATTAAGACGAGGTTTCTCTTCGGCGCGGCAAGCAACGAGGATCACGGATAATACTGCAGGGTACGTGGAAATAACGACGTAGGCCTGAGATCAAAGGGGCGGTCGTCGTCGGCGGCGAGGGGTTCCGGGAGCGCGACTGCCGCGCGGGGCTAGCATGTACAACCTCGTCAGCGTCGTCGACGACCACGTCGACAGCGCGGCGGCTTTACGACAGGCGCGACCGCCCGACGCCCGCCGCCTGCGCAAACAGCACCCCCTGGTACATGGTGCCGTTGATCTCCATGCTCACCACCAGAGACGCGCTGTCCACTCCGCCTCGCCCGTCGTCTGAAAACAACAACACGATCCATTACAGCTCATTCAATCCTCTCACATTCATCGACACGAAAGGTAAAGCAACGCCGATCGACTGCTATGCATGTACAATACCGTGCCGCAAACCGCCTAGATGCAGGACTGATTCTTCAATTTGATTATCCACTTTCTTCATGCGCATGCATGCATGCATGCATACATGCATAGTGTCATGGGAGTGCCATCTACACTTCTACAGTATATGCCAAGCCTTCTCAATCATGAATTAATTGCATAAAGATCCATTCAAGGTTG